AGAAAACCGTAATGAGCGTGTGTGTGTGTGTGTGTGTGTGTGTGTGTGTGTGTGTGTGTTTAATTGAGATACGGTCAGTGTACATGAGATCTAGAAGAAAAGAGCACGAGTGATACAGCAGAGGAACAAGAGAGACTGAACTGATTAAACAAAGGATGTTCATTAGAGAGAAACTCAACAGAGGTGTGTGTGTGTGTGTGTGTGTGTGTGTGTGTGTGTGTGTGTGTGTGTGTGTGTGTGTGTGTGTGTGTGTGTGTGTGTGTGTGTGTGTGTGTGTGTGTGTGTTCTGCTGACTGGCCTGCAGCTAAGAGGCAGATAAGAGAGCTGGAGGATAGAGATACAGACAAATACTCCAACGTGAATGAAGGAGGTGTGGCTGCGGACCAGAGGCTATAAATAGCACACGGCGAAAACCGGGATGACATAATTCCATTTTCCAGAAGCTACACACTCACTCTCTCCCTCTCACACTGAGGCAGAGTCCGTAAGAGAAACTTGACATCCCATTGTTCTGCAGCTCTAACAAACAGACCCCCCCCCCCCCGACACACACCACCACATCGTTAGGGCTGATTTGTGGGAACACACTCGGCATGCGCCGAGCTGCACGTCCTGTAGACGTTTGTGGACGAGTAACTTCTGCTCATGCAGGACACGCCGTCAGGAGCTGGAGCTACTGCAGACAGAGAGATGCAGACATCTACCTTCTGTTGGGTTTCAAACGTCAGCTGTTGGGCGAACAAACCGCTCGCCGAGAAGATACAAAAGGCTGTTAGAAAACCACACCTGCTTGGATATAATTACCTCTAATAATATATAATCACAGTTTCAACTGCAGCTCAGACTCCATCGAACAGCTATTTATGTTCTGTCCTGTTCTGTCTGGACCCGTTTACAGAGACTCTACAGAAATTATTTTTGATTAAAAGCTCATTTAGGTTCTTATTACGAAGGTTTGTTTCAGACTTTAATCTTTCATATCTGTGCCTGAAAACCAGCAGCTCAAACTCGCCTCTGAAAGGGAGTCGTGGGGTTTTATGTCAATCTGCTTTAATCCCAGTTATGTGATGAGGTTTACGGCGCTTGCATTTAAATTTGTCTAATACATTGAACGAGCTTTAGGATCAACTTGCAGAACATTTTCTTTACAAAACTCAAGGACTTTTACAAACGGCAGCGAGCAAAAAAAATAATCACTGCTTCAGAAAGTCTTTTGTTATCCTATAAAGTGGCCTTGACTAATGGCTCTGCAGACTTTAAGTGTGTATTACAACTTTATCAGAAACAAAACCAGCTGTTTTAAAAGCGTTGTCTACGTTTGTCTCCGATCGCCCCGATTCTGTCGCCTCTAAACAAAACGGATCAAATCTGAGATGAAACGGCACGATAATGAAAAGCATCGAGGAAAACGTTGGGCAGAATCTTTAGCGACGCAGAAAATGTTCTGTTTTTTGATATGTTGCAAATGTGGGTGCTGACGCCTCCTAGTGGCACAGTCAGGGTATTTCAACCTTTTATCAGAATAACGTGGCCTGGCAAGCATCCTATTTCCTATAACCAGTTGTCTCCGCATGCTATTGGACAACGACCAACAAGACATAATCACGACTAAGGGCTGCATGGTGGCGCAGTGGTTAGCACTGTTGCCTCGCAGCATGAAGGTTGCAGGTTCGAAACTCGGCTGTGGCCTTTCTGCGTGGAGTTGCGTGTTCTCCCCATGCATGCGTGGGTTTCCTCCGGGTACTCCGGTTTCCCCCACAGATCACAACACGCCCTATAGGTTATAAATTGTAAGCTGCTTTGGATAAAAGCGACTGCCAAATAAATAAACATAAACATGTCAGTCAACAGGGCAATCCGCCAGAAGAGGCAAACGCATCATTTTTCTAAATGAAGGACCTAAGTACCTCTAACTGCTCTTGACTCAAAGCAAAACCCAAAATCGCAACTATTCAACACCGATACCAAAGCAGTTTCAAATGAGCCGTCGTCATCTCATTCACGCTCAGTCGCCGTAACATCCACCCACCAAACCAACAGAGGACTGTGATAGGCCCACTAAACCAACAGAGAGCTGTGATAGGCCCACTAAACCAACAGAGAGCTGTGATAGGCCCACCACACTGACAGAGGGCTGTGATAGGCCCACCAAACCAACAGAGAGCTGTGATAGGCTCACCACACTGACAGAGGGTTGTGATAGGCCCACCAAACCGACAGAGGGCTGTGATAGGCCCACCAAACCAATAGAGAGCTGTGATAGGCCCACCACACTGACAGAGGGCTGTGATAGGCCCACCAAACCAACAGAGAGCTGTGATAGGCTCACCACACTGACAGAGGGTTGTGATAGGCCCACCAAACCAACAGAGAGCTGTGATAGGCCCACCAAACCAACAGAGGGCTGTGATAGGTCCACCAAACCAACAGAGGGCTGTGATAGGCCCACCAAACCGACAGAGGGCTGTGATAGGCCCACCAAACCAACAGAGGGCTGTGATAGGCCCACCACACAGACAGAGGTCTGTGATAGGCCCACCAAACCAACAGAGAGCTGTGATAGGCCCACCAAACCAACAGAGAGCTGTGATAGGCCCACCAAACCAATAGAGGGCTGTGATAGGCCCACCAAACCAACAGAGGGCTGTGATAGGCCCACCAAACCAATAGAGGGCTGTAAAAGGCCCACCAAACCAACAGAGAGCTGTGATAGGCCCACCAAACCAACAGAGGGCTGTGATAGGCCCACCAAACCGACAGAGGGCTGTGATAGGCCCACCAAACCAACAGAGGGCTGTGATAGGCCCACCAAACCAACAGAGGGCTGTGATAGGCCCACCAAACCAATAGAGGGCTGTAAAAGGCCCACCAAACCAACAGAGAGCTGTGATAGGCCCACCAAACCAACAGAGGGCTGTGATAGGCCCACCAAACCGACAGAGGGCTGTGATAGGCCCACCAAACCAACAGAGGGCTGTGATAGGCCCACCAAACCAACAGAGGGCTGTGATAGGCCCACCAAACCAATAGAGGGCTGTAAAAGGCCCACCAAACCAACAGAGAGCTGTGATAGGCCCACCAAACCAACAGAGGGCTGTGATAGGCCCACCAAACCAATAGAGGGCTGTAAAAGGCCCACCAAACCAATAGAGGGCTGTAAAAGGCCCACCAAACCGACAGAGGGCTGTGATAGGCCCACCAAACCAACAGAGAGCTGTGATAGGCCCACCAAACCAACAGAGAGCTGTGATAGGCCCACCAAACCAATAGAGGGCTGTGATAGGCCCACCAAACCAACAGAGGGCTGTGATAGGCCCACCAAACCAATAGAGGGCTGTAAAAGGCCCACCAAACCAACAGAGAGCTGTGATAGACCCACCAAACGAACAGAGGGCTGTGATAGGCCCACCAAACCGACAGAGGGCTGTGATAGGCCCACCAAACCAACAGAGGGCTGTGATAGGCCCACCAAACCAACAGAGGGCTGTGATAGGCCCACCAAACCAATAGAGGGCTGTAAAAGGCCCACCAAACCAACAGAGAGCTGTGATAGGCCCACCAAACCAACAGAGGGCTGTAAAAGGCCCACCAAACCGACAGAGGGCTGTGATAGGCCCACCAAACCAACAGAGGGCTGTGATAGGCCCACCAAACCAACAGAGGGCTGTGATAGGCCCACCAAACCAATAGAGGGCTGTAAAAGGCCCACCAAACCAACAGAGAGCTGTGATAGGCCCACCAAACCAACAGAGGGCTGTGATAGGCCCACCAAACCAATAGAGGGCTGTAAAAGGCCCACCAAACCAATAGAGGGCTGTGATAGGCTCACCAAACCGACAGAGGGCTGTGATAGGTCCACCAAACCGACAGAGGGCTGTGATAGGCCCACCAAACCGACAGAGGGCTGTGATAGGCCCACCACACCGACAGAGGGCTGTGATAGGCTCACCAAACCGACAGAGGGCTGTGACAGGTCCACCAAACCGACAGAAGGCTGTGATAGGTCCACCAAACCGACAGAGGGCTGTGATAGGCCCACCAAACCGACAGAGGGCTGTGATAGGCCCACCAAACCGACAGAGGGCTGTGATAGGCCCACCACACCGACAGAGGGCTGTGATAGGCTCACCAAACCGACAGAGGGCTGTGACAGGTCCACCAAACCGACAGAGGGCTGTGATAGGTCCACCAAACCGACAGAGGGCTGTGATAGGCCCACCAAACCAACAGAGGGCTGTGATAGGCCCACCAAACCGACAGAGGGCTGTGATAGGCCCACCAAACCGACAGAGGGCTGTGATAGGTCCACCAAACCGACAGAGGGCTGTGATAGGCTCACCAAACCGACAGAGGGCTGTGATAGGCTCACCAAACCGACAGAGGGCTGTGATAGGCCCATCAAACCGACAGAGAGCAGTGATAGGCCCATCAAACCGACAGAGGGCTGTGATTGGCCCACCAAACCGACGCATCTGATGCACATCAATATCTCCACCCAGTATTTAAGTCAAATATTAAAGAAATTGGGGCTTAAAGGGCGACTAGGCAGATCTGGCTTGCTGCATTAGCCCCTAGGGTAGGTTTGAAATCACTGCGGTAAAAACAAACATTTTTGCCCTACTCCCAACTTGATCACAAGGTCTGCAGCCAATTAGAATCCTCCTTTGACTTCAAGCTCCCTCCAATCAGAAAACCCTTTCCCCATGTTGACTGGTATGGCTCCTCTTTCAGTCCGGTGTTCTTTTTCTGTTTTGGTTCATCAGATAAAGCTTTTCTTAGTTTCCTCGATGCTTTTTCATGATGAACACGATACAACAAACGCTAACCACCTCTAGCTCATCCGTTTTGAGGTGTAATGGTGGATTACAGTAAAGCGATACATGACTTCAGGGCCTGAGTTGCAAACGTGCCTTTAAATGTCCCACCAGGTGCAGCCCAAGCCAATGAGACAAAACAAACTAACTTTAGCTACAGCGTCCTTCACTGTTACTCCTTCCTACCTTCTTAGTGAAATCCATGGCTTTGAGGATGGACAGGTTGAGTGTTTCCAGCGAGGCCAGAACGCCCTCATATTCTCCCATATGCTTGGCAAAGTAGTCTGATTACACAGAAAAACACAGATTTACAGTCATGAATCGACTCTGAGGTTTCAATAAAAACAGAAAAGCTGGGTTAGAGAGGTTCAAATGCACTTACCACAGAGTTCCTTAGTGTCTACGTTACTATCGCAGCCCAGAAGGAAGAAAGGAAAGCAGCAAAAGGTGGAAAAGAGAAAAGTCAGAAACACAAGAAAAGCTTTAAACACGCGGTCTCACTGAAACGCATCAAAACATCCGTTAGAAAGGAAACCTCGTCAGTCAGCAGCTCAAGAAAATAAAACTTTCCAGGTTAGACAGAAGAAAAAAGGAAGCAGCCAAAAGATGGAGATGGAAGTGATGATGAGAACAGAAGGGAGGGAACACTCCATGTGTGCATCTCCTCACTAACCCGCTGACAAGTGATGCTGCACATAAAACACAAATAACTCTGATGCAGCTCCGTCTCCGTCCGCCGGACCGGGTCGCGTTACAGAGCTTTCATCTGAGTGGATATTAGTGAAATGAATGTGCCAGCTGAACGTGTTTAACATGTCTTATCTCTGCAGTTGTCAAAACCTTTCATTTCAACAGCTGGAAAGCTGTAATGAGACTAAATCATGAGATAAATCCTCTTCTCCGTCTGTTTGACATGCATCAGAGCCACGTTCTTTCAAACATCCTGCACATTTTCATGTTACAAATCTGTGTTTCAAGTCTCAGTTTGTGCAGAACCGATCATTGTTCATCATGTCTAGAACGTCTCGGGTCCGTCACAAGCTCAAACTGGTCTCACATTCATCAAACGTCAACTGAAAAGAAATTCTGAAGGATTTAATTGCAGCTAAATGAACTCAACTCTACCATCAGGAACTTATTACATTTAATGTAAAACGGAATGTTTTCTTTCTACATTCATGATGACATTTTTACCTTGGAGGTCCATTCGGGACAGTTTATTATCACAAAATTATTATTTTATTTTAATTCATAGGAATAAGGATTTATTATTGTTATAATCCTCTTTATTGTTTTGATCATAAGTGGCCTTTTCTTCAAACATCCCCATACGCTTTAGATCGTTTTTCTTTATTTTTACACAACAGCTTCTAAATTTGCCATCCATCCATCCATCCATTTTCATCCGCCTATCCGGTGTGGGGTCGCAGGGGCAGCCTAAGCAGAAAGGCCGTCTCCTCAGCCACTTGGGCCAGATCCTAAGGCGTTCCCTGGCCAGCTGACACAGACATAGTCCCTCCAGCATGTCCTGGGTCTTCCTTTGGGTCTTCTCCTGGTTGTACGTGCCCGGAAAACCTCACCAGGAAGGCCTCCCAAATAGATGGCACCTCAACTGGCTTCTCTTGATGTAGAGGAGCAGCGGAAATCATTCAGAACTTCTTTTAATCCTTCACAATAAGAGTCCACATTCACGAGTAGCTCAAAAGCTCTGAAGCTTGTTGGGAGTAATCATAAACATTATCCAGTGAAGTATCACTTTGAATAAACACAGCTGTGATTACTACACGGCATGATGTGGAGGAGCGGCGGGTCTACTCCGAGCCACTCCTGGATGACTGAGCTGCTCACCACATCTCTAAATGGAGAGCCCAGACACCCTGCGGAGAAAAGTCATTCTGGCCGTTGTTATGGCCGCTGCCTATATGTGATGAGGCGTAGCTAGTCTCCTGCTTCACCACCAGAGCAGCTCCACCCTGGATGCTCTCTCTGCAGTTCAGCACCAGGGACAGCGCCAGAGCAGAGAAGCCCTTCATGGTGGAGTTAGTGAGGGGGTCGGCAACCCGCGGCTCTGGAGCCGCATGCGGCTCTTCCATCCATCTGATGCGGCTCTCTGTGCTTGTAAAATAATGAATGGATATTTAAATAAAACGCTTTATTTTTTACTGCATTAATTTTACATCAGTAAGCTAATTCTAAATGTAAAGATTGTCTGCGTAAACCTGAACAGGTCCAACTCGGTCTTACTGTGAGACCGGGTTGACGAGTCACGCTTGTGCATAATCATAGGTGCTTCCTGAGCTGACGAGGATGTGAGATTCTGGGATTCTCCTCAGACGGCTCCTGGATGTGTCGCCACATTGGAGACAGGAACAAGCACTATTCAGCCAAAGTTTCATAATCAGGGAACATTTTCTAAGTGACAAGTCTCGCTTCAGTCGGAGGAATCTTCCCGCATGCGCTCTGGTTCTGCGACGCGCTCCAAGCCCATCACCACATCTTCAGCTCGCTGTGCACCTTATGTACGCGCTGACAGTGAGCTGCGCTGAGCAATGTCCAGCTCAGTTGTTCAGCTGGGAATCTTTTCTTGAGTGATTTAGCTACATCTGCGATGTGCGTAGAATAAAATGTCAGTTCGTCTGCATGCGTCGGGGTAATTCTTTCTATTCTTTCTCCATCAAAATAAACGGCCAAATACGGGAACTGTCTGGTCAACACAAGCCCTGCTTTTAACTGTTCTGTTTTCTTGTGAAAATTGTTGCAAAGAGATATAATTAAACTTGATTAACACCAGAGCCAGGCGCACTGCACTGTTATCTCCATCACTGTAAATGAGGGAAAAAACAAATTGATCAGATCCTTTTCTGACCGTCCCCACCTACAAAGTTTAATTACAACAGTCAAACGTGACAGAGCCTGGATTTGTATTCTGAACAGTCTAAACATGTTTTAAAAAGAAACGTATGACAAAAGTGGCACCTGCTCAGTAAAACCACCAACAGGGTGAAAAATATCTAAATATTGTCGGCAGAGACGGGCTACAACTTCTGGATCCACCTTATATAAATCGTTTTATTGATTATCTTCTTATGAAAGATAACTTTGACGTACACAAGCGACCGGTACTGGCTGCTGTCCCCTGTTGTGAGCAGCGCTCTGCTGTCTGAGGGTAGGCCCCGCCCACAACACCGCGGCTGCTGTGGCTCCCAGTGTTTTCTTTACTGTGGGAAACGGGTAATAATGGCTCTTTGATGGGAACAGGTTGCCGACCCCTGAGTTAGTGGAACTGCCTCCGATGTCCACGAGATACTGCAGAGCCTCACAACCAACACAACCCCACAACATCCAGAGCCTTAAGGAACTCTGGGCGGATCTCATCCACGCCCGGGGCCTCCACCACCACAGTGACCTCAGCAACAGAGAATGAGGAGCCCGACCCAAAGTCCCCGGACTCCGCTTCCCCACTGGAACTCCGTGTTTATCTCTGCTTTTTCTGAGCTGCTATCTAAATAAAGTTCACTCAACTAAGTTACTTTAAAATGTTATCTACTTGTATTTTATTTATTCAACTATCTTTTCACTTATTTCTCCAATAATTTGTTTATTTTAAGTTTGGTTCTTGTTTAGATGAGATTTATCGCCTAAAATGTGTTTCATCACCCAGGAAACCAGGGAGGGGTCAAGTGTAAACTGTTAATAAGACCTGTAATAAAACCCTTTATTAGGATTTAAGGTCCCCTGGTTGTTTTTAACTGGGACCAGAGGACCGTCCCGGCTAGTTATGATAAAACTGTAGAGCTGGAAAGTGAACGAGCTGCATTTGATCCAGAATAACTCGTTAAATGCGTCCGACAGTCTGCTTTACATTAAACAGGACAACTTCACACAGCTTTGAAGGAGTTTTGTGTGCAGATGGTGTTCCTGCATGGAAGAGAACAGTCAAACATAAACTCAGCCGGGAAATTTGGGCTCTGGCGCGTTCCTTCACACACGAGGCTGCACACTTTATTAAAGTTTCTATTAGCCTTTAATTATTTCACATTTCTTCAACTGACAAACTGCAAAAGTGTTAATCAGCCTTGAAGGTGCAGTCTGCTCTCCATTTAGGAGACACATTCCCTGAATTGGGGCTGAACAACGTCAGGTTTCTCCTCCTCCTTTGCAGCAGAAACAGATTTAAGGGCAGAAGAAGACAGGAGTGAGCGACGTGTGGAGAGGAAGAGGAGGGAAAAGTGAAAGGCAGGATGGCAGCTGAAGGAAAGCTTCAAGATCAGGAGACAGGAGTTAAACATCAGATGTGAGAGGAAACCAGAGCTGCAGAACATCACCCCGTCTTCCCACCCAGTGATCCATCCATCCATCCATCCATCCATCCATCCATCCATCCATCCATCCATCCATCCACTTCCTGCTTCATACACAAAACACTTAAAACCTCATTTCTGTCCAATCAATAAGCGTATCTGCTGCCACATGATCATGCAGAGACCCAACATGCTGAAACAACTTCACTCTAAAACTCATCTGCCTGCATCCACTGCAGAGAAGAAGATGGAGAAGTAAAAGCAGCAGCATCTTTGAGTTGACCAAGACCACAGAGAGGGCAGCGGTTGCACGGTCCACTTACTGCGCTGATCTAAAGGCACATAAACCGACAAACGTCCGAGCCTGGAGGAGGATTCATACACCCAACCTGTTTTAACGCCACAACAACTCGAACAGGTCAGCGTTCGTTCTGCTCGGGCTGCTTTTACTCCAGCCTCTGCGGGAGTCAGAGGTTGAGTCAGAGGTTGTGTAAATGAACCAGCAGACTCTGAATTATTCCGATCTCACGGTGTCAGCACTTGTAAGGCTGCAGGGTGGGTGAGTTGATGAGCCGATCATATAGAGACTCAGTAAAACGATTTCATGAACGTCAATTAAAGAAAGATGTGCAAGGAAGCCGCAGCTGCAGAAGGTTAACGTCCTGTACGACGGGACGAGCAAGGTAGGAAGATGGTTATGAAAACTGAGCTTCACGGGCTGCGACTGGAGATTTATTTCCATCCGTCCATCCATCCATCCATCCATCCATTTTCATCCGCTTATCTGGAGTCGGGTCGCGGGGACAGTAGCCTAAGTCGAGAGGCTCAGACTTCCCTCTCCCCAGCCACTTGGGCCAGCTCCTCCGGGGAGTCCCAAGGCGTTCCCTGGCCAGGTGAGAGACATAGTCCCTCCACCGTGTCCTGGGTCTACCTTTAGGTCTCCTCCCGGTTGGACGTGCCCGGAAAACCTCACCAGGGAGGTGTCCAGGAGGCATCCTGACCAGAAGCCCGAGCCACCTCAACTGGCTCCTCTTGATGTGGAGGAGCAGCGAGTCTACTCCGAGCCCCTCCCGAATGACCAAGCTTCTCACCCTATCTCTAAGGGAGAGCCCGGCCACTCTTCGGAGAAAACTCATTTCAGCCGCTTGTATCTGCGATCTCGTTCTTTCGGTCACTACCCAAAGCTCGTGACATTAGGTGAGGGTAGGAACGTAGATCGACCGGTAAATCAAGAGCTTCGCCTCCTGACTCAGCTCTTCTTCACCATGACAGACCGGTACAACGCCCGCATCACTGCAGACGCAGCACCAATCCGCCTATCGATCTCACACTCTAGCTTTCCCTCAATCGTGAACAAGACCCCGAGATACTTCAACTCCTCCACTTGGGGCAGGACCTCATCCCTGACCTGGAGAAGACCTTCTACCCTTTTCCGAATCAAGACCATGGTCTCAGATTTAAAGGAGCTGATTCTCATCCCAGCTGCTTCACACTCGGCTGCGAACCGCTCCAGCGAAAGCTGAAGATCACGTTCTGATCTGGAGATTTATTTGAAATAATAAAATCAGGAATGAGCAAAAGATAAACAAGCTTTGGCTTTTTAAAGAACGTAGACGGATTGTTTCTCAGCTACAGGTTAACCAAACCCAAGGATGAGCTTCCTAAACGCCTCTGTGTTTGATGAAATTCCTTATGCGAGTCTCTCGTTGGATATGATCAAAATTAGAAAAAATTCTCTCTCAAACAAAAAAACAACCAAGAATTAAAAAGTAACACAAAAGTGTCTTAATTTAGTTTCTGGAAAGGAAAAAAACTTCTAAACTGTGATAGCTTCTCATCGACCAGACTGGGACCTTTCTCCTGCAGAGACAGAAATACCAAATGCTGATGGAGATGTGACCACAGGTCGGCCATGTTGGGAGGTATGTTGGCAAATGAACAAAAACATTTTGTGAATTTGCTTCTTTCACACTAAAAGTTAAAGGGAGAGTTCAGATTTCTCCTGAGAGGAGTTGTGCGAGTCAGCATCTCACCTGCAGCAGAAAGCAGTCAGAATGAATTCCCCTGGAGAACCAGGGAGGAATGTTGAGCAGAGATATCTCCTCTGATCTGTCAGCAGGTAAGATACTGACTACAGGGAGTGCAGAATTATTAGGCAAATGAGAATTTTGTCCACATCATCCTCTTCATGCATGCTGTCTTACTCCAAGCTGTATAGGATCGAAAGCCTACTACCAGTTAAGCACATTAGGTGATGTGCATCTCTGTAATGAGAAGGGGTGTGGTCTAATGACATCAACACCCTATATCAGGTGTGCATAATTATTAGGCAACTTCCTTTCCTTTGGAAAATGGGTCAAAAGAAGGACTTGACAGGCTCAGAAAGGTCAAAAATAGTGAGATATCTTGCAGAGGGATGCAGCAGTCTTAAAATTGCAAAGCTTCTGAAGCGTGATCATCGAACAATCAAGCGTTTCAATCAAAATAGTCAACAGGGTCGCAAGAAGCGTGTGGACAAACCAAGGTGCTAAATAACTGCCCATGAACTGAGAAAAGTCAAGCGTGCAGCTGCCAAGATGCCACTTGCCACCAGTTTGGCCATATTTCAGAGCTGCAACATCACTGGAGTGCCCAAAAGCACAAGGTGTGCAATACTCAGAGACATGGCCAAGGTAAGAAAGGCTGAAAGACGACCACCACTGAACAAGACACACAAGCTGAAACGTCAAGACTGGGCCAAGAAACATCTCCAGACTGATTTTTCTAAGGTTTTATGGACTGATGGAATGAGAGTGAGTCTTGATGGGCCAGATGGATGGGCCCGTGGCTGTACTGGTAAAGGGCAGAGAGCTCCAGTCCAACTCAGACGCCAGCAAGGTGGAGGTGGAGTACTGGTTTGGGCTGGTATCATCAAAGATGAGCTTGTGGGGCCTTTTCGGGTTGAGGATGGAGTCAAGCTCAACTCCCAGTCCTACTGCCAGTTTCTGGAAGACACCTTCTTCAAGCAGTGGTACAGGAAGAAGTCTGCATCCTTCAAGAAAAACATGATTTTCATGCAGGACAATGCTCCATCACACGCTTCCAAGTACTCCACAGCGTGGCTGGCAAGAAAGGGTATAAAAGAAGGAAAACTAATGACATGGCCTCCTTGTTCACCTGATCTGAACCCCACTGAGAACCTGTGGTCCATCATCAAATGTGAGATTTACAAGGAGGGAAAACGGTACACCTCTCTGAACAGCGTCTGGGAGGCTGTGCTGCACGCGATGTTGATGGTGAACAGATCAAAACACTGACAGAATCCATGGATGGCAGGCTTTTGAGTGTCCTTATATTGGTCGCTGATTTGTTTTTGAATGTCAGAAATGTATATTTGGGAATGTGGAGATGTTATATTGGTTTCACTGGTAAAAATAAATAATAGAAATGGGTATATATTTGTTTTTTGTTAAGTTGCCTAATAATTATGCACAGTAATAGTCACCTGCACACACAGATATCCCCCCAAAATAGCTAAAACTAGAAACTTCTTCCAAAAACATTCAGCTTTGATATTAATGAGTTTTTTGGGTTCATTGAGAACATGGTTGTTGTTCAATAACAAAATTATTCCTCAAAAATACAACTTGCCTAATAATTCTGCACTCCCTGTACTCATGAAGGCTCTTTACTCGCCAAAACCTGAGAGTCGTGGACTGCAGCTCAAGTTACAAACATGCTCCCACGAGCGGTCAAGCCAAGCAGCAGCATGAGTTGACTTTTCGAAAAAAATTTGACTCAAACAGGAAGTGGTGGTGCAGTAAAGCATTCAGCATTACAAAGATGTCCTGCACGCTGACAAATTTCATGCAACGTGTTTCGGTGGCGACGTGCTGCGGCCGTGCGACGGCGCTAACCTGGTGTTATCAGAGTCGATGGTGTGAAACAGCTTCTCCAGCTCTTCCTCGTTCAGCGTGCCGTCGGAGAAGAACGCCTGGAACTCATCCAGCGACAGCTTCCCGTCATCTGATGGAAACAAAAACAGCCGTCATCAAATTATTAGCAGATGGGACGATAACATATTCATTTCAATTAATCTGATCATTTTCTGTGAACCAAGAAGTCGAGCATGAGTTGAAATTTAAAATGGAAATTTGCTTTTATGAACGTCTCCTCATCTCACCTGAGGACTGGTTTATCTTTCTTCTAACTGTATGTGTAAAACAATGGGATCTGTAACCAAAAGCACTTTCATCTCCCTCCTCATTATCCCTGCAAACGGCCGGAGCTGCAGTGGAATCGATCCGGCGCCTCAGTCTGTCAGTGTTGTAATTTAGTGAAACACAAAAGGGAGATCATGTTTCGGGCTCCAAGGCCGCGCAGACAACCGCGCCGCTCAGGAAACACGACTGGCTTTCTGCTCCTCTCAGCAGCAGCATGGTGGCAAGTTTGGTTCTTCCTTTTGGTTTTGGTCAAATCGTCAAAACGACGACATTCAAGCTTCTGCAGCGGTTCAAGATCACGTGAGTTTTCCTGCAACCTTCTCTAGCAGCTGCAGGTGGAGAATCACTATAGGCTCCGCCCATTTCATCAGCTATTCATCCTTCTTTCCCTCAGGCAGAAGATTAAGCAGCCTCAACGGCTGTTTGTTCAACACAATGTTTTCATTTGATTATGTATCTGCTAAAATTAAACGGATTAAAGGTGCAATATGTAAGACCAAAGTAAGAATGACTTCCTGTGGTAAAGTGTGGGTTCTGCAGTCCATTCTTCTAAACAAAAAGTTATTATCTCAATGCCGTTGAGCGAGTTTTATGCTGTTGACGGATCAGCACCAGAAGATTCTAGATTAAAGGTTTTGTCTGCTGGTGTCGAATTACAATTGCTGGCCCCTGCAGCAGAATGGTAAATGGCCTGTATTTGATATAGTGCCTTCTAGGGTCCTGGAACCCCCCAAGGCGCTTTACAACACAGTCATTTACACACACATTCACACCCTGGTGGTGATGAGCTACGATGTAGCCACATCCCTCCGACCACCACCAGCAGGCAAGGGGGCTTAAGTGTCTTGCCCAAGGACACAACGACAGCGACAGACAGGCTCGAACCTGCAACATTCCGATTACGGGGCGAGCCCAATCCTCACCTATGGTCATGAGCTTTGGGTAATGACCGAAAGAATGAGATCGCGGATACAAGCGGCCGAAATGAGTTTCCTCCGTAGGGTGGCCGGGCTCAGCCTTAGAGATAGGGTGAGGAGCTCGGACATTCGGGAGGGACTCGGAGTAGAACCGCTGCTCCTCCGGATCGAAAGGAGCCAGTTGAGGTGGTTTGGGCATCTGGTCAGGATGCCTCCTGGACGCCTCCCTGGGGAGGTGTTTCGGGCATGTCCTGCCGGCAGAAGGCCCCCGGGCCGACCCAGGACACGTTGGAGAGGTTACATCTCCAATCTGGTCCGGGAACGCCTTGGGGTCCTGCCGGAGGAGCTGGTGGAGGTGGCCGGGGAGAGGACGGTCTGGAGCTCCCTAGTTGGGATGCTGCCCCCGCGACCCGGACCCGGATAGGCGGAGGAAGACAACGACGACGACGACGTGTTGCCCACCTGGGCCATTTACCATGAGAACAAGTTTATACATTTAAAGCGTGGTTTTATATTTTACTTGTTTTCTATTAAAGACAAGATTTTTTTAGGCCAGATAAAATCATTCAGAGGGCTGCAAACGGCCCACAGGCCACACATTTAACACCCCGCGGTAGAGTAAAAGGGATGCTCGCTCTGGTTTTCTAACCAGCTAGTTTAATGGGAATAAACACTAAATACAAACACCTTCTTCCTGCTTCTGGTCTGAACTGATTTGTGATGTTTACAGATGGCAGGAGAGTTTATTTCTGGTGTCTCTCTCGTCTGCTGCACTGTTGGCCTGACTGGCTGGCTGTCTCTCTACATGATGCAAAGCCAGATATCAAATATTAATTCCTCTGCCCTGAGAGTGGGTTCGTCTCTAAGTGTGAGTGACTGGGTGCAGCAGGGTGAGCTCTGGGAGGACTGCAGAGCTCTGGGAAGCCACGCGACTACAGCTTTACTCAGGGCTGAATTTAAATGCGCTTCTCTCATCTGTTCCTTCTCCTGCGCCTCATTCTCAGGGAACAGCGGCCATTAAAGTCTCATTTCAACATCAAACATGTTTGTTATTCTGTTCCTGCTTTCATTAGTTTTTTGTTAAAAGAGTCCTTCGCAGCTGCACTTTCTGACAAGTCTGACTAGGGTTGTCACGGTAACCAGTATAGCGATAAACCCCGGTAAAAAAGTAAACAATAAAAATAACCGTCCAGTTTTTAAAAAACTAAATTATCTCGGTGGGTTTACCGTGGCCGCGGTTTAGGCGCGGTGACCCTTACCAGCCACCGTCGCTTCTGCTGAAGCTCCCGCGCACACGCACTTTTTGGTTTGCAACCAAAACTTTGAAGCTGAAATAATGGCCGAAGGAGGAGACGGCAGCGCCCAGGACATCCATCAGCCCTCAAAGAAGACTAAATCGGAAGTATGGGCATATTTTGGATTTCTGAAAAACGCTGAGGGACAGTTAATAGAAGACGGCTATCCCGTTTGCAGAACGTGCAGCAACACTTCAAATCTAATGGCACATCTGCGTGACCATCACCCACGTCTCTACAGCCAGTGCAAGGTAAGTTAACATTAGCATTTTAGCTTAAATGCATGAGGTGAGGACTTTTGGTTGAGGGAGAACGCAACGAGTCGCTATATACTGCAGCCGCAGCGTCCTCTGCCAGCATTTAAACCGTGTCACGGACACCCTGTTGCTGGATGAAGCATCTTATTTGTTGATGATGAAGAGAAATATACAATTAGTTCCTTGTCATTGATTTGTTTACTTATTCAATGCCATTTATACTTGAACATTTGGATTTGATTACATAGTGTAGTAGTTATTTTAGTAATTTGTTTAAAGTGGCTATTTATTTTAAATACATATTTTTTAAGGTTGACTTGTACAGTGCTCAAGTCAAGTGTGGACTGGAGTTTTAGATTTTCATTTTGATAATGAAGAAAACAAGTATATGAGAAAACAAGTGGTGTTTCTTTGATTTGTTTACATATTGTTTATGTTTTGAATGTTTGGATTTGTATCATTTAAACCTGCACTGACTACTGTAACATGTTCCAGAAAAAGAAGCTATTTGTTCCTTTACTTGTGAAAAGTTGCACTTTTGCTAAGGCTTTGTGTTATTTTAGGTTTAATAAACACTGTTAAACATTTTCTAAACTATTTCAGTTTGTGTAGAACAGGACTATCAATGCTTTCTGAACATATGCAACACCGTTTAAAAAATACCGCGATAATACCGAAAACTGTGATAATTTTGGTCACAATAACCGTGAGGTTACATTTTCACACCGTGACAACCCTAAGTCTGACCAGCGCTCGTAAGAGGCGGCTTCACGTGGTCTTCAAAAGTCAAAAAGCTCCCAGGAGCTTCTGGCTCTTGGCCCGCCTCCTCCTCAGTCCTCTTTACACTTTACTGCCCATTACGCTCGGCATCTTTCATCCCTCTCTTCTAGCAGCAATGTTAGAGACACGGCGGAGGCTTCCTCTCAGATGCCACAGAGGGTTTTTATTTTTGCTGCAGAACCGTTTTCTTCTGCTGGTGCAGCCGTTCTGCGACAGAAGGAAGCCTTCAGCTCAGATTTGTGACACCGTGTCCATCCATCAGATGTGCATTTGGACATCTTGTGTTTCCAAGTCGCCCCTTTGCTGCTCAACTGTAGCAGCGATGAGAGAACTGCTGTTTAAAGCGGCAATGACCCAATTTTCCTGCAGCCCAGTTAGACCCACTTAGGGATCTTGCAACACCACACCACTCAGACAAAGCAGACAGCATGCTAACCCCATTTTCAAAAGCACATAAAAAAAGACTCCTGACAAAACCTACATTTTGCCTGAATCTGACCTACATCCTACTTCCAGGCTGCTCTTTTCTCAACAGGCGCTCACCTCACATGTGTAACGTGTCACATCCTGGTTCTCTGATGGGACTTTTTCCTGTTTGATTTCCACCAATTTCACAGCCAGGCTTGATAATCAACATCCAGGAATAATTCCAGCTGTTCTCTCTCTTCCGAGTTCCCGTTTTGCAGGGTACACTCGCCCTACAAACCCGTCTCTGAATAAAGCAAAGCGCCAACGGCAAATCACGCCAGTCTCCATCAAAAGAGGTGATGCAACGGCGCCCGACATGCTCAAGCCTGGCACCAATTGCTGGAAAGATCTTTGTTCTACAGCCCAAAGGGCTCCGCTGAGGGGAGTTGTTCTACTGAAAGGAAATGAGCCGCTCTCACAAATGTACAGTAAAGCAGCAGGGAGGAGATGAGGTGCAGGCCCGGCGAAGCTGCAGCTCATCTGTGGACATCCACATCTCAGCACCATTTACATCTCTGAGCCCAAACCGGTTCCTTAATCATCTTCTAACCAGTAAAACTTAGAGCCGGGGTGTTCAATTCCCATCCCGGAAGGCTGGTATCCAGCACGTTTTAGTGGTTTCTCTGCTCCAAGGCACTTGATTCAGTGGTTGAGCCACCTGTGCAGCAGCTCAGCGGGCTCTGCAGAAGCCTGTTAATCACCTGCAGATTGAAATCAGGTGTGTTGAAGCAGAGTTAAAACCAAACGTTCTGGATACCGGCGCTCCAGGCCCGGAATTTAATACCCCGACTTAGAAGGAAAAAAAAACCTTGCAATATTCATCATTTGTGAGTTTTGAGGGCCAAACGTTCATTTTTCTGTTCTCAGTTTCAGGATTAATATTTTTATACCACAATTAACTCGTTCACTGCCAATGACGACTAAAGTCGTCATTTGCATTTTTTTTTTACTGTTTGAGCATCGGAACGAGCCCCGCGCTGAGAGAACAAACATCTCAGCCCTGAAGCCGATCTTCATCCGCATACCTCACACGTCACATGATCAGGAAGCAGACCATCCATGTATTAGGAGATCATTTTGGGCCGT